AATGACGGCCTAAAGACCAGTCATTATTCAGAGATGTACAGATGAACGATGCGCTCCCTAAGACTTCCAATAACCGAGTATCCACCAATAACCAAAGCCCACCGACATGAGCAAACACATATTAACAACAAAGAGGATCACACCCAGCAACCACCACTCGCCAGTCTTGACATACCCCAAGGCAAATAGAGGTGGATTAGAGGAGGAAGTGTACGGAGTTAAATGGCCTGATAGTGTTGTGTAAGCCAAAGCCCGGCATCCCATTTCCATTGGTACATGCGACTGCTGCATTATCGACAGGAACACTGGGAAGAGAGCTGACACGTGAGCAGTGATCGAAGCGAAAGCGTATTGGGTAGCATAGAAAATAAAGGTAATAAGAATGGTAACAGGAACCGCTGACATGCCGGATAAGTCTATCAGTGATGCGAACCAGTCAAAGAAGCCTTTCTCCTTGAGTTCACTCGCCAACATCAATAATACGCCAAACCATATGAGCAGGTCGAATGCTCCTTGATTGCTGACAATATCATCTTTAACATTTATGATTCCCAACAAGAGGAGACATGCCACGCCTATGGAGGCTACAGCAGTAGTTGAAAATGGGAAGATAGTTTTCACCATGGACGAGAGAATCCACAACAAGATCACAATTCCAAATACAATCATCATCTGTATCTCCCCCATAGTCATCGCGCCCATCTCCTTGAGCTTGTTCTCAGCAATGCTTTTCGCCTCAGGCGTTTTCTTGATCTCGGGAGGGAAGACCAAGAATATCACCAGTGGGGCTATAGCCAGTGGGAATATGCCCACAGGGGCCATACTGTAGGCCCATTCTACCCACCCAACATCAACTCCCACATCCCGCATAAACTGGGCCATCAGTGCGTTCCATGCTCCTCCCGTAAGCCAGCTTATAGATGAGGTTGCATTAGCTGTGAACTCCACCATGATCAGGTACTTTCCGATCAGTTTCTCCGTACCCTGTCTAGGTGATGAACTGAAGCCTTCCTCTAGGAGTGGTTGGAGTATAGGGAGCATGATGCCCGCAGCTCTGGCTGTAGACGAAGGGATTGCAATAGCGAGAATAAACTCACAGAGGCAGAAGCCATATGCCAGACCAAGGGTAGTCGAGCCCACCAACTTCAACACGTAAAAGCATATACGCTTGCCCAGGCCAGTCGAGACGAACCCACTAGAGATAAAGAAGGCGAACACGATAAGCCACACCGTATCATTGCCAAACCCAGACAGCATCTCTGCAGTAGTTAGTGTTTGAGTAAGAGCGATAACCGCTAGCATGACTAGGCATACCCCAGACATTGGTAACGGTTCCATGATAGCTCCTAAGATAGTGACCAAGAACAGTACAAAGACATGCCAAGTTTGTGCTGGTAGACCTGAGGGCACCACCCACCACAGAGCCAAGGCGACTACTACCAACAGTAAACACTCGTAAAGATTCGCCCCACGCCACTGCGTTTTATGCCAATACCACACCTTGTGGAAGACGTTGTACTTTTTGGGTATACCCGTATTCGGTGCAGGCAGGGATTCAACATCCAGGGTCGACATGGACCTCTCAGCGGCACCACCACTCTTCTCCTTCGCCACAGTCGATGCACGACGAACAGCCATTGAGGATAAGTACAACTGAACCCACTCCCATATTTTGATAAGAACACAGAAAAAGTATCAACAAGGAAACGATAAACTCAATGCTCGAGACGCAACCTCGCCGTCACGACTTACCCCCTAACGATGCCCTATAAAAGCTCCTCCCTTACCCCTGAGTTAGCACTAGTAATCATAATTGTATTAGATCAAATTATGTACAACCCCATGAATACATATCATACTATAATACCACGTACACGATATCCTATTAAAAATTATACATATCATAAACATATATAAAGTAAAAATTCGCTCTTGTGCTACAGGGTGCCCCATATGAAATGTGCTATTGTCTGTAACTCGCGGAATTCACCGAGTTTCCCAGTGAGAGATAGCTCCTTGGAAAGATCTTGGTGAGCGTTTTCCAATGGTATTCCTTGCATTCCAAGTTACATATGATACCACATTCCATTTAGGGCACCCTGTAGCATATCCCCCAGCCGTCTCTGGTGTCGGTCTAGCCGATTAGAGAGGCGTCTCGTCTCGTAGACAAAGCCACACCTACACCCCGTTATCGAGCGACCCCTCCCCTTCATCAACTCCATAGATACCAATAACGTATCGTCAGCTTCGGATAAAGCAAGGCAGACTACCCACTCCATTAACGTGGTGATAAGAAGCCCATTTTGCTGGCATGGAGGGACAGGCCCTACTCAAGAGAAAAGGGGTTATTACCAGCCCTCGTCGACATGACTAAGACACTCAACATAGTGGAGTAGCTAGTGGACAGGCCATGGGCAACACGAGATGGATAACTATAATTACTAACCTACCACTCCTCTGTCAACTCAACCCCACCTCTACTGAACCACAACAACATGATCCACCATAGTATACCATGGCCATCCCCCACCGCTTCAAAGGTTACGACATCCGCCCTACTCAACCACCCGGAGGGTACGCCTCTCTTGCTAGCATACTGTTGACCTCCTCCCCTCTCTCCTCCCTCACCCTAGCCGCCGTAGCTACCTCCCCCTCAAGTCGCGCCCTCAAATACGGGTGCTTCAAAATCAACGATGCTCGTGGTTGCCAAGCCTCCTCCAAACCTGACCAATCTCTTAGCGGAGCGAAGCGATTCACGAATCACATTTTTACCAGGCCGACTTTCCTTAACGTAATTAACAACATCCTCACTCCTCACAGGTGGGTCTATGATGCAGTCCAACACCTCGACCTACCCAACCACGTCACAGCTCGCCCATCCGTGCAAATCATCCACTTACCATCTCTCTCAACTCCACGCTCTCCCTCAGCTCCTCGTCTGTGACACCACACAGGAGCTTCTTTACCACCGTTTCAAAGGTGATATTCCCTCCCACTTCAATCACCCTTCTCAGGTAATTCATCACATACACTATCGCTGGTGTACATATCAAAGTCGGGCCACCACACCGACTAAGCGCTGACTGTCCCTGGGTAGTGACTGCTGCTGCTGCTGCTGCTGCGGTCTCCACTCCCACCAATCCCTCCAACCACTTCAATGTACTCTCATACCTACAGCAACAGCAACAGCAACAGCAACGGCAACAGCAACAGCAACAGCAACAGCAAAAGCAACAGCAACAGCAACAGCAACAGCAACAGCAACAGCAACAGCAACAGCAACAGCAACAGCAACAGCAACAGCAACAGCAACAGCAACAGCAACAGCAACAGCAACAGCAACAGCAACAGCAACAGCAACAGCAACAGCAACAGCAACAGCAACAGCAACAGCAACAGCAACAGCAACAGCAACAGCTCCTACCACTGTCGTCTCCTCCGTGGCATTCCCGAGTTAAAATAGCTCTTCAGCATGCTCTGCTCATTGTCCAATCGTAATCGACCCAAAGCCACTTCAGGTCGACTAAACATTCGATCCTCCATAGCTTCACCACCAACCTTACCATATCGCCTTAGCCTTCCCCCGGCCCATCCCCCTCCTTTCACTACTAAGTCCTCCCTCAACAAGCCGCAACCTATACAATGCATTCGACGTCCCCAACTGACCTCCTCCCCCTACCTCCGTGCCGCACTCCTGCCCTTATCTAGCTCCATAAACCTCAGAGCTCCCATCACTTTACCACACTCTCCATCCAGCCTAGCCCCTCGACGCTGACCAACACTTTCACAACCTCCCCTCCCCACCTCAACAGCCCACCTGCATTATCCTCTTTATGATGCTCTCACCCATCGAGGAGTCCTCAAGACCCGTCCTCTCCGGCATCTCTATTTCGGGCAGGTAATCACACACGTTTTCCCCCGACTTAGCCGACGGCGCGGCACTCCCTCTATCAACATCACTCGAAGGAGACAGGCCGCCACCGTCAATAACGGAGTCCACAGGCGATTCCTTAACAGATATCTACAACCCCAAACGCATAACCTCACGAGCTCCCCACCTCCCAATATTCTTATATTCGATTGTTTCCTCCATATGATGAGAATTTTCAGATAACTTCGTATCAACAATTTCCTCTTTATTTCCTCATCACCTCGCATGAGTAACTATAACCTCCACCCCTCTCCCTACCCTCAGCTGAGCCAGTGACGGCGGCGAGCGTCCCCCTGCCCTACTATACGACCCTTGTTTAGGAGCGAGGCTATCCATCCTCGTTGCATGTGCGCTCGACCTCCTAGAACTACCACCTCCAGCACTACTCCTCCTCAATGGAGCCCCCAAAAGCAAGGACCGTCTTCTACGTCCTCTACCACCCTACACCAACCCATCATAGCGGTGATTACCATAACTACTACTCACCCCTCCACGTGCATCCACCTTCTGTCTAGGCTCCATCGCAAGGTAATACCTATACCACACCAAAAACTATAGCAAAGTAGAACCCCCCGCGAGCACTGCATGTGATTTCCCATATGACTCTCGAAACGAATGGATGATATACAGCTCGCCAGGAGTTACCGGACGAGGCTGGGGACGTCAGTAAGGAGCTCTGATATCGAAACACTCCATACACCTACTACTAAGGAGTGGTGTTTATGATGAAAGTATTGCTCGTAGAACTACTACTACTAAGTAGGGATGTTTACGATAGAAGTATGACTCGCAGCGACTACTATAACCCCAAAATACTACCCCTTCCTATACATCTCCCTCAGCTTCTCCTCTTCCACCTTATCAAGGGCCTTCCTTATTTTGTCCGTCCATGTCTCCTCCTCCTCCTACCAACACATTTCAGCCCAGCACCCCCCCACACTACTACCCCACCTCGCCCTTCTCCACCGTCACATCTGCATCATTCAACTTCAACAATTCCCCCTCCCCCCTAGGTTCCTTCATCCTGCTATCCAACCCATACACCACATATCTCTTCTTCTCACAAACTCACCTGAGGTACTCCTCTACAGCTGGCAGTCGAACTGGGAGCGGCTTCAACGCCCTTTCCCTTGGCGAGCTATAATAAAGCTTCATACTGTGCGAACGGGCCCTCGTACTCTCTGGTACAGCAACTCTCGACCGATGACACCGAGGGCATAGCCCCGCCTCTTTACTCTAAAAGGGAGATCTTTCAACGATTCTG